TGTGTGTTTTGTTTTGAAATTGATGACTTTGAACTTCAGATTCTCCTGCCTTCATCTCTAGGATGCTGGGATTACAGGAGTGTGCCATCATACCCAGTTTATAAGGCTCATCCATGCATGCTAGGCTAGCACTCTGCCAACTGAGTTTAATCTCCAGTCTGAAGGTTACGCAGAATGTGACTGCTTACATAAACGTTCCATGGATATTTTATTTATTTTATTATTTTATTATTTCATTTCATTTATTATTTTATATTTTATTTGGTCTTTTTGAGACAGGGTCTCTTCTGTAGCCCCAGCTGGCCTGGAACTTGCTCTGTAGACCAACCTGGCCTTGAACTCACAGAGATCGGCCTGCCTCTGCCTCATGAGTGCTGAGACAAAGGGTGTGGGGCACCATGCCCTGCTTCCATGCATAGTTAAAAAGAAGTAATAGGCTAGAGAGATAGCTCAGCAGATAAGAACACTGACTGTTCTTGCAGAAGACCTGGGTTTGAATCCCAACAGCCACATGGCAGCTAACAACTGTTCTTAACCCCAGTTCCAGGGGATGTAACTCCAGTTCCAGGGGATCAGACAGTCTTTTCTGTCCTCACAGGCATTGCACGACACGGGTGCACTTACCCTACATGCAGGCAATACATGCATACACATAAAATAAAAATAATAAAATATTTTTTAAAAAAGAATGCATTACATGTTTCTGGACTGGAGATGGTTTTCTGAAGAGATGCTCACAGGCAGACAGAAGTTTATTTTTAGTTTTATGTGCATGATTGTTTTGCTTGCACATATGTAAGTGCACCAAATGCATGCAGTGCCTGCATAATCCAGAAGAGGGTGTCCAGTCCCCTGGAACTGGAGTTACAGATGGTTGTTAGCTGCCATGTGGGTGCTGAGAATTGATTCCGGGTCCTCTGCAAGAGCAGCCAGTTCTCTTAACCACTGAGCCATCTCTCCAGCCCTGAGAGATATTTCTTAGTTCCTGATTAATTGAGATTAAATGAGATCATCTGAGTGTTTGACATTGCTGAGGAAGAATGTATAAAGAGAGAGGAAAAACCATGAAGACCACATTTCAAACTATGGAGGCGAAACCTACAAAAGGGACTAAGGGTGTGCAGAAAAGAATTAGATCTGGAGGCTAATCACATTCAACACTGAAGAGTCAGCAATATAATCAAATGTTTCTGTTGGATGTAAAAAGGAAAAACAGAAAAGCTAACAGTTGAGAACAGGGATCCGAAAACTGCAAGCTGCAGATCAGGTTCAGCAGACCGTCTGTTTCTGTCAGGAGAGTTCACAGCTTACAGCCATGCCTAAATACAGCTCTGTAGAGAAAAACGATGCTGGACTCCAGTATACATGCTCCGGTTTACCCCTCCTGGAAACATTTGCATTCATTAAACATTTACATGTCCAAATCCAATGATTAATAGAGCAACAGTCCAATTATTAAGTTCTAGGGTTCAGCCATAAATGTGAAAGAAGAAAGATTCACATCCATCTACATCTTTTGGCAATTATTACTGTGCTCAAGCTAATGTTCCTGGGGCCCCAATTCACGGGAGTGCTGAGCCTGCGGCTTCTTTGTCTCTACTTCCAGTTACCTATTGCTGTGTAACAAAGCACCCTAAATGCAGTGTTTACAAAAAAAAAAAATCATTGGGTCTCAGAGCTATACATTGACTATATGCCACCAGGTGGGTCTCCAAGTTCCTCCCACGTGGTTCAATCAAATGGCTTGTAAGCCTGCCAATGGTCCACATGGCTGACAGCTGACACTGGTCAGCTGAGGCAGCAGACTGGAATTAACCTATGTGTGGGTCTCCATATGAAATAGACTTCAAAACAGCATCCTACTGTGTTCCAGGAGAACTTTTTCCAAGAGAAAGGAAATAGAAACATTGAGTCTTCAAGGCTAGTTTCCTGTCTATAGAAACTTCTGCCATATTCTGTTGATGTAAACAGTCACAGGTCACTGGAGACAGAAAGGGATGGGAAAACAGCTTCCACTATCAACAAAACTTGGTGTGTACATCTGATGCAAGAATGAGATGATGGCGACCATCTCAGAAACAAGGCCCCAAAGAATAATGGCTCTGTATCCCAGGCTGGAGAACATCTTCAGGCAAGCAGGAGTTCAGGGGGTTGGTAAAGACAAGGCTTCCCAGGTCTCCAGGATGGTGACACAGCAGAGCCCCTACACCCAACCAGTGGGTGTCTAGAAAGACTTACTGGTAAAGAGCCAATCTTTCCAAATTAAAAGCCCTGGTAATGATCATGGCTTTCTAAATGGAAGCTCCTAAGAGGTCTTTAGGAAGATGTGAATGGGAAGGAACAGGGTGCCAAATTTTTCCCAAGGGCTTTTAATTTGGTTAATGTGACACTACACAGGATGATGGTATCACTTTCAGACAATTCCAGTAGCAAGTAAGTAATTTCCTTTTACTGCTACAGAGTTAATTTGTGTGTGCAGGGGAAAAAAATAATTAAAAAAAAACTAATTGTACAAGCTTACACTGTGTTCTGAGCTCACTGGTAGCTGGTATCAGTATCCCACCTCTGAGATCTGTTATCTGTAAGAGAAACAGCTGTTGCACCTAATGAAAACACTTGAAATTTTCATCTGAAGCAGCAGAATT